GTTATGCGGGGGTCCACTGTATATATATATGCATGTGCGTGTCTGTGAAGTGTGACCAAAGTGTAAGTAGGAGTAGCATGATATCCCTGTTATCTAGCGCGTTTATGAGACAGAAAAAGACACCAGCAATCCTACCATCATGTAAAACAGTTACAGGTTTCTGTTTCACAGTCATCTGGCAGGACGGTAGTACTTCCCTGGGTGGTTGCTGTCTACCAACCTACTACCTTAACTAGTGTTTATATTAGTGAATTTAACCCTTTGACTGTGGCAAACCCCAATCCTGAGGTGTCTCCTGGTGTTGCAAAATTTAAAAAAAAAAAAAAAAAATTTCTTCTGAAATGATAGAGAATCTTTTCCCGATTGTAATGACACCAAAAAAACTAAATTTGATGGAAAACTGATGGAATTATGCTCTCGCGAAGTTAGCGACCTCGGCGCTGTTTACAAATCGGTGATTTCGCCCACTTTGAGCCCTATTTTCGGCTAATTCCATTGTTCCAGTCACCCAAACTCATAGCTATTTCTTTAGAACTCCATTTTTTCTATCGATTGAGTACAAGAAACTGCCCATTTACCGATTTCAACTACCTAATAATGTGGTCAGAAATTTGTAATTTGGCCAATTTCACGAAAACTAAAAAATATGACAGAATGAACAATGCAGACATTCCTGGCTCTAAAATAACATTTTCTTTGTTCATCAGTCATATCTCCAGGCCCCTCTGATATTACTCTTGCTTTCTATTTTGAATTTTTATTCAAACAAAAAATAGAAGACTTACTATTATGCAGACTACTGCAATACTGTAATAATTGTATAAATAACATCAACCCATTCATTACTGCATATTAGAATGGCTAGTTCGATATTTATTGCACAATTACATCATTTGTTTACTTTTGAACATTGGCAAAAATCAAACATTTCCCCTACTCTGAGCTCCATTTCTAGGTTCTGTTTATAGTAAAAGCAATCAAAATCACCTCTATTTCTATAATATGTTTTCCATTCTATCAAATGAGACCAAGAAAACGAGAATACAATCATAAATACTATACGAAAATAGACCACAAAGTCGGCATTTTAATTAAAAAAAACGGTCGGAGTTTTTTTTTTCTCATTATGCACTGCATGCTCCAGGATTTTTTTTATATGGTGCACACTGACCACACAGACCCATTCTCTCACATGTGGGCATACCAGATTTCTCCTGCTTGATTTGAAGCCGCTAGAATTTATGAGTATACATACGTCAAACACGGTACCTCGTAAGACGTATATATATGGCCGCGACAGTCAAAGGGTTAAGACCAGCAAAGGCTGGTTTGAGAGATTTAAGAAGCATAGTGGCATACACAGTGTGGCAAGGCATGGCAAGGCTGCAAGTTCTAACAAATATGCTGCTGAAAAATATGTTCAGGAATTCAAGGGGTACATAGAGGCTGAACAATTCAAACCCCAACAAGTGTTCAATTGTGATGAAACAGGTCTGTTTTGGAAGAAAATATCAAAGAGGACCTACATCACGCAGGAGGAAAAGGCACTCCCAGGACACAAGCCTATGAAAGACAGGCTAACTCTCATGTTCTGTAGTAATGCTAATGGGGATTTCAAAGTGAAGCCTTTACTGGTGTATCACTCTGAAAATCCCAGAGTGTTCAAGAAAAACAGTGTTGCCAAGAGTAAATTGTGTGATGTGGAAGGCTAACAGTAAGGCATGGGTAATGAGGGACATTTTCCTTGATTGGTTCAATGAAGTGTTTGGCCTCAGTGTGAAGAAATACCTCTTGGAAAATAAATTGGAACTCAAGTGCCTCCTGGTAATGGTCAGTGCTCCTGCTCATCCTCCAGACATGGAAGAACAAATGGTGAAGGAGTTTCGTTTCATCACAGTGAAGTTCTTGCCCCCCTAATACCACTCCTCTCATCCAGCCCATGGACCAGCAGGTCATTTCAAACTTCAAAAAACTATTCACCCAAGCAATGTTTCAAAGGTGCTTTGATGTGACCTCAGATGCTCACCTGACCTTAAGAGTGTTCTAGAAAAATCACTTCAGTATCCTCCATTGCATAAAACCTTATAGGTAAGGCTTGGGAGGAAGTGACTTCCAGGACTTTGAACTCTGCTTGGAGAAAATTGTGGCCAGAATGTGTCTAAGAGAGGGATTTTGAAGGTTTTGGGGCTGACCCTGACAAGCCTATGGCCATTTTGGAAAGCATTGTGGGATTGGGGACTTCCATGGGGTTGTATGTGAGTGGCAAGAATGTGGAAGAGTTGGTGGAGGACCACAATGAAGAGCTAACCACAGAAGAGCTGCAACAGCAACAGACCACAGCTCAGGAGGAAGGTGCCTTCTTCAAAGATTAAGGACATTTGTGCAAAGTGGAGTGAGGTGCAAACATTTATAGTTGAACATCACCCTGACAAAGCTGTTGCAGGCCGTGTTGGCAACATGTACAGTGACAATGCCGTGTCCCATTTTAGGGAAATTTTATAGAAACGCCAGATACAGACCTCTCTGGAACACTTTTTTGAGCGACAGGGGTTCAGTGACTCTCAAGCTGTTCCTAGTTGCATTAAAAAACAAAGAAGGGAAGTAACCCCAGAAAAGGACTATGGAGGGGGATTTCCCTCCCAAACAATAGCACACCTCCATCCTCTCCCCTCCCCCTACCTCATCACTCATCAACAAGTCTTCAAGATAGGTAAGTGTCATTTTATTGTTTTATTCTGCATGTTTCATTGTTTTCTGTGTAGGTAAATGTATATTTCACATAAAAATTTTTTTTTTTAATACTTTTGGGTGTCTGGAACGGATTAATTGGATTTACATTATTTCTTATGGGGAAAATAAATTCAGAAATCGTCAGATTCGGGTTTAGTCACTCTTTCAGGAATGGATTAATTATAATAACCGGGGAGTCCACTGTATTTGTGTATTATTCATCACGGAATTGTGCTTTTTTCGTTATTTTTGGGGCCCTTTATGTACACTGTATTTCTGCATACCTGGACTATACCAGAAGTAGCCCAGACTGTGACTAGGCCTCGTGGTGGATCAGAGACTGATCATTCAAGCTGTTAATGTTGGCTGCACTCAAACCAATGTAAGAACCACAGCCTGGCTTTTCAGGTACGGACTTTAGGTGCCTGTCCAGTGCCTTCTTGAAGACAGCCAGGGGTCTATTGGTAATCCTCCCTTATGTATGCTGGGAGGCAGTTGCAGTCTTGGGCCCCTGACAATTGTGTTGTCTCTTAGTGTACTCGTGACACTCTGCTTTTCATTGGGGAGATGTTGCATCGCCTGATCTTTTGCTTTCGTAGGGAATGATTTTTGTGTGCAAATTTGAGACTAGTTCTCCTAGGACTTTCCAAGTTTATCAAACTTTCAACACACCGGCCGTATCCCACCGAGGCGGGGTGGCCCAAAAGGAAAAACAAAAGCTTCTCCTTTTAAATTTAGTAATATATACAGGAGAAGGGGTTACTAGACCCTTGCTCCTGGCATTTTAGTCGCCTCTTACAACACGCATGGCTTACGGAGGAAGCCATGCGTGTGCATGCGTGTGTTCCGGGGAGTGCAAATTACTGTGCCCAGTAATTTCAGTGCTTTATTGTACTCATAAGTTTCGTGAAAGTATTCTGTACATTCTCCAGGTCTGCAGCTTCGCCTGCTTTGAAAGAGGCCGTTAGTGTGTAGCAATATTCCAGCCTAGAGACAAGTGATTTGAAAAGAATCATGGGCTTGGCATCCCTAGTTTTGAAGGTTCTCATTATCCGTCCTGTCATTTTCCTAGCAGATGTGGAAGATACCTTGTTGTGACCTTTGAGAGTGAGATCCTCAGACATCACTCCCAGGTCCTTTACATTAGTTTTCCCTCTACTGTGTGACTGTAATTTGCTTTATACTCTGATACACTTTTAATTTCCTTGAGTTTTCAATATCAGAATAATTGAAATTTTTCTTCATTAAACTTCATATTGTTTTCTGTAGCCCATGTAAAGATTTGGTTGATGTCCACTTCGAGCCTTTCCAGTGTCACTGATGGATGACACTGTCATGTAATTCAGGAGTCTTCAGCAAAGGAAGACACGGTGCTGTGGCTTACATCTCTGTCTCTGTCAGATATGAGAATAAGGAACAGGATCGGGGCGAGTACTGAGCCTTGTGCAACAGAGCTTTCCACTGTGGCTGCTGCAGACTTTACTCAGTTTACTATTACCCTTTGTGTTCTTTTAGGAAGTTATAGATCATAGATGAATGGTTCAGAGAACCGACACGTTGATAAATTAGATCCATCTACCAACTTTTCAGTAATTCCTTAATCACAGATTTTGTGTGCTATTACACCATGGTTGCACTTGTCAAAGACTTTCGCAAAGTCTGTGTACGCTGCATCTGCATTTTGTTTGTCCTCTATAGCATCTAAGACCTTGTCATAGTGGTCACAGGGTGAGACAGACATGAGAGATGCAGAAGAGAGTTTTGTGCCTTGTGTTGCGCCTGTGTGCTCTGTTATAGATATCAAGGAGAAGTTTGAGAGGAGAGTTTATATTGGAGTTTAATGTTCAATGTATGTAGTAGGCACAGTAATATTTTAGAACTGGATAGCAATTTCTCACAAAGGTCGGGTGACCCACAGAAAGAAAATACATATGCCATTACTGGTTCTCAAGATGTCTTTCCAGAAGTGTTTCAATATCATAATTAAAATGATCAATTGAAATGCAACAGAACTGTAATTTACATCTCTAGAACTAAAGTTTAACTGCCTTCCAAAAATACCCTCATTTATATTCCTTTCCTTATGTTTCAACAGTAGGATGACTGATGATGATGACTGACGATGATGATGATGATGAGTGATGATGGTGATGATGATGGTGATGATGATGGTGATGAATGCACGTTTTTTCTAACATTAAAAATTCCATGACCATACAAACCCTGAAAATATAAATTAGGGTAAATTCTTTGTAGCTCTAATTATTTACCTTAAAATAATCTGTGTCCTGATGAAAGTTGCGAGTGAGACTGTTTATGACTGCATCCAAGTTCTCCGCTGCTCTGATAGTTTCTGCAGACACGTGGGCATCTTCACACAGCTGTACCAAGCTCACTACATCCTGAAGGTCTGGGATGAAACGTGCTGCATTGCTTGAACAGTGAAGACCCCCGGAACGTACCAAGCGGACGTAACCCATGGCATTTCCTAAATGAATTTGAACTCAAAATTTTTTTTTGAAAATTTCATGATCATTATGAGTGGTACTGTGTAAAAATACAGTCTTGGGCATCTTCTAGGGTACTACCCTACTATCCTGGCCATGAGTATCAGCTGGGAGGGAAGAGGGGGGATCTGCCAACTTACTTAACCTTGGGCATTTATTAGTCTTATTAGTTTTGAAATAATTTATAAAATTTGCCAAATTTTATAAATTATTTCAAAACTAAAATTGTCTTAATCTCATTATTGTAATGTGCTAAAATATAATACTGTAACTGCCTCTGTTCATATATAAAAAATTAATGTTCAATTTGAACCAACTATGATATATATGTCTGGTATAGTCCGTAAAGCCTCGACATGACAGTGGTTTTCTTTGCACTTGCAAATCAATATTGAAATTACACATTGTAAACTATGCATGGAAATAGACTCCTTAAAACATGTCAGTCACACATTGTAAATTTTGCAAAGAAATAAAAAATTGAATTTGAATTTGAGGGCCAAGAGGACAAATCCCACTGATCATGGGCATCCTGCCATAGTGTCATCAGCTATCCCACCTTCACATGTGTCCTTAACTCTTAAACTGTCCAAATACAGATCTACGTTTACATGCATAGCGCTCCAACCTTGATTTTCTCCATTTGAAAGCATGTAAAAAACATAGATCTGTGTTTGGACAGTTTAAGGGTTAAACACCACGAATTTGGTACATCCCCAATGATCTCTGACAGGTGATTTTCTTAATAAACCAACAACAACATGGTAATCACTGCTAATACCTTAACTTTAGTTAACCCTTTCAGGGTTTTGGCTTATGCCCCAGCTTATGCCCCAGGGTTTTTGACGTACTAGTATGCCTAAATTCTAGTGCCCTCAAATCTAGTGACAGAAAGCTGGCAGGCCTACATATGAAAGAATGGGTCTATGTGGTCAGTGTGTGCAGTATAAAAAAAATCCTGCAGCACACAGTGCATAATGAGAAAAAAAAAACTTTGACCGTGTTTTTGAATTAAAACAGCAACTTTGCACTGTTATTTCGTATGGTATTTATTGTTGTATTCTAGTTTTCCTGGTCTTATTTTATAGGATGGAAGATATATTACAGAAATCGAGATGATTTTGATTGGTTTTACAATGAAAAGTACCTTGAAATTGAGCTCAAAGTAGCAGAAATGTTCAATTTTTACCGAAGTTCAAAAGTAAACAAATCATGCTATGCGTCCAATACACGTCAACTGGTGAGTCTAATATTCTTTCACAAGTGCACTGATATTATTTATACCATTTCTACACTAATGCAGTAGTCCGCATAACAGTAAATCTTCTATATTTTTGAGAGAATAAAAATTCAAAGTGAAAAGCAAAAGAATGTAAGAGGGGCATGGGGACATGACTAATGAACAGAGGAAATGTTATTTTAGTGCCAGGAATGTCTTTCTTGTTTATTCTGGAACCTATTCGGAAATTGGCATCTTTTGAAATTTGTGCGAGATTGGCAAAATTGCTAAATTCTGACCACTGTATTGGATAGTTGAAATCGGTAAATGGGTGGTTTCTTGTACTCATTCGAGAGAAAAAATGGAGTTCTAGCGAAATAGTTATGATTTTTGACGACTAGTACACTGGAATTGGCTGAAAATAGGGCTCAAAGTGGGCAAAATCGCTGATGCGTAAACATCGTCGAGACCGCTAACTTCGCGAGAACATAATTCCATAAGTTTTCCAACAAATTTCATACTTTTAGTGTCATTATGATCGGGAAAAGATCCTCTATCTTTTCATAAGAAAAAATAATTTTTTTTTTTTAAATTTGGGGGACCCTGAGAACAAGTCTTGGAGAGGGTCTGTGGACCCTGAAAGGGTTAATGCAGAAAATGTTTCTCAAAACTGTACTTGATGCAAGAAGAAGTAAACATTGTACAAGGATAACTAATGCTAACCTCACAAATAACCTGCACATAGGAGAAAGAATCTCTTGACCATTAAATAGTCACTGTGTGACTAGTTAATGGTCCATTAAGTAGTCACACACTAGTCATAATGGTCCATTAACTAGTCACACACTAGTCATAATGGTCTATTAACTAGTCACACACTAGTCATAATGGTCCATTAACTAGTCACACACTAGTCATAATGGTCTATTAACTAGTCACACACTAGTCATAATGGTCCATTAACTAGTCACACACACTAGTCATAATGGTCCATTAACTAGTAATACAGTGACTAGTTAACCCGTAAACGATCCAAACGTATATATACGTTTTTTCAACATTTGAAAGTATGTAAAAAAGTAGATCTTCTTTTTGTTTTTTTACATTTGAAAATGTGTAAAAAAACTTTGATCTACTTTTTATTTTTTGTTATATTTGAAAATATGTAAAAAAAAAAATAGATCTACTTTTGTAGCGCTACACATGTGAACGTAGATCTGCTTGGACCGTTTACGTTAATGGTCCAAGTCAGACCAAAACATTGCTGTAAGTTTCTTACTCATATGACCTGGCTATTTGTGTATTGTTCCAGTCATGGTATTGTGCCTGTTTCTATTTTAACCCTCTGAAGGTCCAGACCCCCAGTCTGAAAATTTCCCACACGGTCCAAGAATTAAAAAAAAAAAATTCTTATGTAATGGTAGAAAATCTTTTTCTGAAGGTAATAAAGCAAAAAGTATGAAATTTAAAAAAAAAAAAAAAAAAAATTACACTCTAATGAATTTTGCTGTGTCAATGATATTTATGCATTGGTGATTTTGCCCACTTTGAATCCTATTTTTGGCCAATTATATTGTTCCATTAGACCAAATTCTTAGCTATTTCACTAGTATGTATTCCATTTTATATACTGAGCACAAGAAATCACCCAGTCAACTACTTCAATTACCCAATAAAGTGATTGGAAAATGGTAACTTGGCCAATTTCACACTAAGTTCAAAATATTCCAATTTCAAAATCGGGTCCAGAATAAACAAAACAGGCATTCCTGGCACTAAAATAACATTTCCTCTGTTTATTAGTTATGTTTCAGGCTTCACAGATGAATTCCATTTTTTATTCACATTAAGAATTTTTATTCACACTATAAAATAGAAGATTTATTGTTATTCAATACTGTAATAATTGTATAAATAATATCAGTGCATTCATGAACGCACATCAGACCCACCAGCTGACGTGTACTGAATGCGTGATGTGATTTGTTTACTCTTGAACATTGGCAAACATTGAATATTTCCACTATTTTGAGCTCAGTTTTAAGCTATGTTCAGTAATAAAACCAATCAATATTTCTGTAATCTATCTTCCTTACTGTCAAATGAGACAAAGAAACTACGAATATAATGATAAAAACCATACAAATATACACCACAAAGTTGCTGTTTTAATCCAAAAACACAGTTGCAGTTTTTTTTTCTCTCATTATGCATTGCATGCTACAGGATTAGTTTTATATGGTGCACACTTACCACATAGATGCATTCTCTCATATCTAGGCCCAAATTTACTGCTCACAGTTTATCTGAGTAAGCTGACCTCATGACATAATACTATGGCATGGACCCTGGCTTCAAAACTGTACAATTACGACATAGACCCTCAAAGAGTTAAATACTAAATTTTTTACCTATGCTAATATCTCAATGACCTAGTTCAGGTGCTATGTACAGTTGTATGGTATAGATCAGGTGCTATGTACAGTTGTATGGTATAGATCAAGTGCTATATACAGTTGCATGGTATAGATCAGGTGCTATGTACAGTTGTATGGTATAGATCAGGTGCTATGTACAGTTGTATGGTATAGATCAGGTGCTATGTACATGTTGATGGTATAGATCAGGTGCTATGTACAGTTGCATGGTATAGATCAGGTGCTATGTACAGTTGTATGGTATAGATCAGGTGCTATGTACAGTTGTATGGTATAGATCAGGTGCTATGTACAGTTGTGTGGTATAGATCAGGTGCCATGTACAGTTGTATGGTATAGATCAGGTGCTATGTACAGTTGTATGGTATAGATCAGGTGCTATGTACAGTTGTGTGGTATAGATCAGGTGCCATGTACAGTTGTATGGTATAGATCAGTGCTATGTACAGTTGAAATGGTATAGATCAGGTGCTATATACAGTTGTGTGGTATAGATCAGGTGCTATGTACAGTTGTATGGTATAGATCAGGTACTATATACAGTTGTGTGGTGTAGATCAGGTGCTATGTACAGTTGTATGGTATAGATCAGGTGCTATGTACAGTTGTGTGGTATAGATCAGGTGCTATGTACAGTTGTATGGTATAGATCAGGTGCTATGTACAGTTGTATGGTATAGATCAGGTACTATATACAGTTGTGTGGTGTAGATCAGGTGCTATGTACAGTTGTATGGTATAGATCAGGTGCTATGTACAGTTGTGTGGTATAGATCAGGTGCTATGTACAGTTGTATGGTATAGATCAGGTGCTATGTACAGTTGTGTGATATAGATCAGGTGCTATGTACAGTTGTGTGGTATAGATCAGGTGCTATGTACAGTTGTGTGGTACAGATCAGGTGCTTTATACAGGTGTATCAAATGAACACAAAGTTTAAAATATAAATGACTGCTGAATATTTCAACACAGGCAGATGATGGTAAAGTTACCAATATGGGTAATAAGTCCTCTGAACTGGTCCAGGTATGACAGTCCATCTCCAGTTAATCCAAGTTTGCGAATGCCACGGTTAAACTTCTGTGCTCGTTCGTAAGGAAAATATTCTTGACTGATTTTAACCTATAACATACCAATAAATAAAAATATAAAATTAGAAGTTAAATAACCATCAGCAATTAAACAAAATAAAAACCAATAAACTCACAACATTGTCAATGAGAATAAGGGTAATGTACTTGAATAAATCTACAAAACACACAGTATAGCTCAAAACAGGCTTAATATTGCTAGTCAATACTAAGTACCTGTTAGAAAGTAACATAACTCAGCATGATAGCTATACATACACAAAATTATATGACAACAATACAGTGAGCACTTAAATGCCACATGGAAAACAAGTGAGAAAGCTCCCATTATAAGATACATTTAAGAACTTAACACAAACACAAGTGACAATAAGCAGCTCACTAAGAAGCACCGAACAACACAACACTGCAGTAAACTGTGAACCTTGTTTTGTTATATTTTCTAGAAGTGGTAATGGTGGCACATTATTTTATGTTGCAAGAAGGCACTAGAAGCCCCTGCAAGAGTGAATAAGAGGCCCCTGCAAGAGTGAACAAGAGGCCCCTGCAAGAGGGCACCAGAAGCTCCTGCAAGTGGGAACAAAAGGCCCCTGAAAGAGTGAATAAGAGGCCTCTGCAAGAGTGAACAAGAGGACCCTGCAGGGTGAACAAGAGGCCCCTGCAAGAATGAACAAGAGGTTCCTGCAAGAGTGAATAACAGGCCTCTGCAAGAGTGACTAACAGGCCTCTGCAAGAGTGAACAAGAGGTCCCTGCAAGAGTGAACAAGAGGCCCCTGCAAGAGTGAACAAGAGGCCCTTGCAAGAGGGCACTAGAAGCTCCTGCAAGAGGGAACAAGAGGCCTTTGCAAGAGGGAACTGGAGGCCCCTGTAAGAAGGCACTAGAGAGGCCCTTGCAAGAGGGACCAAGAGGCCTTTGCAAGAGGGCACTGGAGGCCCCTGCAAGAAAGCACTAGAGGCCCCTGCAAAAGAGCACTAGAGGCCCCTACAAGAGGGAATAAGAAGCCTTTGCAAGAAGGCACTAGATGACCCTACAAGAGGGCACTAGAAGCCCCTGCAAGAAGGAACAAGAGGCCACTGTAAGAGGGCACTAGAGGCCCATGCAAGAGGGAGCAAGAGGCCTTTGCAAGAGGGCACTAGAGGCCCCTGCAAGAGGGAACAAGAGGCCCCTGCAAGAGGGTACTAGAGGCCCCTGCAAGAGGGAACAAGAGGCCCCTGTACTAGAGACCCCTGCAAGAGGGAACAAGAAGTCTTTGAAAGAGGGCACTAGAGACCCCTGCAAGAGGGAACAAGAGGCCTTTGCAAGAGGGCATTAGAGGTCCCTGCAAGAGGGCACTAGAGGCCCCTGAAAGAGAGAACAAGAGACCTTTGCAAGAGGGAACTGGTGGCCCCTGTAAGAGGGCACTAGAGGCCCTTGCAAGAGGGACCAAGAGGCCTTTGAAAGAGGGCACTGGAGGCCCCTACAAGAGAGCACTAGAGGCCCCTACAAGATGGAATAAGAAGCCTTTGCAAGAAGGCACTAGAGGTCCCTACAAGAGAGCACTAGAGGCCCCTGCAAGAGGGAACAAGAGGCCTTTGCAAGAGGGCACTAAAGGCCCCTGCAGATGGATACTAGACACACCTACAAGAGGACACTAGAAGACCATGCAAGAGAATACTAGAGGCCCATGCAAGAGAGCACTAGAGGCCCCTGGTTATCCAAGGGACAGATTGTGGAGCAGTAGAAGCTGATATCGTGGAAGGCTCAAAACTCTGGACTACTGCAACAAGTTTAAATTTACTGAGACACAAAACTAAACAACATAATGATACATACAATACAGTTAAGTAGAGTAATACATTATCTAACAAAAGAGATATTTACAAATGCTCCTTGACTTATGATGGGGCTACTGTCCAACAAACCCATTGTAAGTGAAAAATATTGTGTCGAATATGAGCACGATATGGTAAATAAGCGAATAAATAACTGTCACAGAATAAGTAAATAAACAAATAATTACTGTAACTAAGTACCTACATTGAAAAGTCAATAAATGAATACAAGTTACAGAATAGCTTTTGCATAATTGTATAGTTAAGCCATCTTAAGCCAAGCAGCACCTGTATATTTTGAAGAAAAGAAGTTTTATAGACTGAGCACCATAACAATACACTCCACTGAATATAAAGATCATGCTTCAAGTGGAATGTGGTATTTACTAAAAGTAGTAATATCAAGATAAGGAAGCTTAATAGAGAAGATCTGAAGGCAGGAAATCGATTCTCTGTTCTCCAAGGTGAGTGTACTTCAGTGGTTAGCGTGGTTAAAGGTACCACTGACTCCCCTGATAATCAAGGTAAGAACACTCTGGTTGTGGGTAACTCATAGGTAAGATATATGGACTGTGCTTTCTGTAACAGAGATAGGAACGTTAGACAGTGTGTGCTTTCCAGAAGCTGGTATTGATGATGTAGTCAACAAGTTAGATAATACTGTCAGGTAATGGGAACAAATCCATCATCTGTCTTAGCACTGGTGGAAATGATATCGGGAAGGGCAGGAGACAAGAGCTGCTGGATAAGTACAAGTCAGTCATAGATGTAATAAGGTCTAAGGAAGGGGTCCCAATCATATGTAGCATCTTGTCTAGAAGGGGAGTGGGCAATGAATGGATGTCTAGGGCAACTGGTGCAAATTACTGGCTAGACACCATTACTGCAAGGAATTTGCAATCCCATTCATTGATACTTTTATTTTTTTTATTGACACATCGACCGATTCACACCAAGGCAGGGTGGACCAAAAAAAAAAAAAAAACTTTCATCATCATTCACTCCATCACTGTCTTGCCAAAGGGGTGCTTTACACTACAGTTATAAAACTGCAACAGTAACACCCCTCCTTCAGAGTGCAGACACTGTACTTCCCATCTCCAGGACTCAAGTCCAGCCTGCTGGTTTCCCTGAATCCCTTCATAAATGTTACTTTGTTCACAATCCAACAGCACATCAAGTATTAAAAACCATTTGTCTTCATTCACTTCTATCAAATATGCTCACGTATGCTTGCTGGAAGTTCAAGCCCCTCACACACAAAACCTCCTTTACCCCCTCCCTCCAACCTTTCCACGGCTGACCCCTACCCCTCCGTCATTCCACTACAGATTTATACACTCTCAAAGTCATTCTGTTTCATTCTATTCTCTCTACATGTCTGAACCACCTCAGCATCCCCTTCCGAGCCCTCTGGATAATAGTTTTGGTAATCCTGCACCTTCTCCTAGTTTCCAAGCTACGAATTCTCTGCATTATATTCACACCACACATTGCCCTCAGACATGACATCTCCACTGCTTCCAGTCTTCTCCTTGTTGCAATATTCATCACCCATGCTTCACACCCATATAAGAGCATTGGTATAACTATACTCTCATATATTCTCCTCTTTGCTTCCAAGGACAAAGCTCTTTGTCTCCACAGGCTCCTAAGTGCACCACTCACCCTTTCCCCTCATCAGCTCTACGATTCACCTCATCTTTCACAGACCCATCTGCTGACATGATCACTCCTAAATATCTGAACACATTCACCTTCTCCATACTCTCTCCCTCCAATCTGATATCCAATCTTTCATCACCTAATCTTTTCATTATCCTCATCACCTTACTCTTTCCTATATTCACTTTTAATTGGTAACTGGGACAAATTTTACGGTGAATAAACATAATATGTATGCAAGGAATGGGGTACATCTCTCAGGGGCTGAAGTGGCTGCATTAGAAAACTCGACTGAGGGGGACATAGCTGACTTGTCTAGGACTTTAAACTGATAGATTATAGAGGTATGGGTGTGTGTGGGAAACAATAAAGCTGCAGAACAAGGGCTGAAAACAGCAGATATTACCAGGATACCTCAGGGATATGTTTAACCCTTTGAGGGTCGACAGGCCCTCTCAGAAACTTGTTCTCAGGGTCGGCCAAATTAAAAAAAAAAAAAATTATTTTTTCTTATGAAAAAATTGAGTTTTTTTTTCTAAACATTATAGGATAAACAAAAAAAATTTACCATCAATACTTACGGAGATATGGATGCATGAAGTTTGCAGAAAATGAGCCGCGTATGGCAACAGCGGTGACTGCCGCTCACCCGGTAAACTTTAGTTTACTTGTATTTGAAGGTTTGTTGTTTTTTTCACTATTTTATTTTTTCACATAACTTATGTGGCCTATGAGACCAAAGTAAGGTGCAATGTACATATATACACTCGTTGTATACAACACAATAAGCACACAAACATAATTATCAATATATTGCTTACAAAACTTGTTTACAAAAACAAACAATACAAAACATTGTTTATTTTTATTGTTCTATAATATATATACCAATATACAGTCACTGAACATATTCCTATTAGTTCTGCAGCTTGTGGAACTCTGAAACATGGTGTCATACACAATGGTGTTTTATCTTTCTCCCTCATTCTATCTCTTTCAATCTGTCTCTCTCTTTCTATCTGTCTGTCTATCTCTGTCTCACAGGTACACATAAATACAAGTATACATAGTATAAATTACCTAGGATAACCCAAGAAATCCAGACAAAGTGCTATACTCTGCTTGGAGATGTGAGTAAAAGTGATGACACAGTCTTGTGGCTCTCTGAGACAGAGAGCTAGACGGATAGACAGATAGACAGGGAGCTTGACAGACAGACAAATAGACAGACAGAAATGTTAGTGTACCAGTACCAGTGTACTAGTGTTCCACCCTCCTCCTCCTCTTCTTCCTCTTCCTCCTCTTCCCCCTACTCTTCCTCCTCTTCCCCCTACTCTTCCTCGTACTCTTCCTCTTCCTCCTACTCTTCCTCCTCCTCCTCTTCTTCCTCTTCCTCCTACTCTTCCTCTTCCTCCTACTCTTCCTCCTCCTCCTCCTCCTCCTCTTCTTCCTCTTCCCCCTAATCTTCCTCTTACTATTCCTCTTCCTCCTCCTCTTCCTCTTATTCCTCTTCCTCCTACTCTTCCTCTTCCTCCTCCTCCTCTTCCTCCTCCT